TGGCGTTGGTTTGAGTCATTTACGATTATATGTTTTTGAGTGGATTATTTATCGAAAACTCAAAATTTTAAATTACCTCGAGAATATTTACTTTTGCTTGACAAACATTGTGTACGTGTTGTAAAAACACCAGGTGTTTACTTTGTTTTGTACGTCAGTTTGTATTGCCATCAACATATCGATCACAGTCTAGTTAAACATTCCTAGAATATTTCTAGTATATACATGTGAAGAAAAACTTTTCATATTTCCAAAGAAATCCTAGCCGATGAATACAGCCATACAAAAGCCTGGGTTTTCGAAGCTTAACTACGTCTTAGGATGACGTCACGCATGACGTCATCCGAATGGGGTCAGCAGCGAAGGTCATACATTACACAATAATCATTCAGGCCCGTTATACTCCTAAACACTATCTTGCTTTATTTCACCTAGGCTTCTTATAAAGTTTCTCATTCATTTCGCTGTTTAAATTACTGCGTGTTTATGCGTGTACAGACCGTTTATATTTCCCTATGTATTGTTCAGTATGTGACGTGTCTTGGCGAATGTGTGTTATTATAGATGGGAAGCCGTATGGGAATTTTGTATGAGATGGAATACTTTTCCGTCTTCAAAGCAAACATGTTACCTGTTAGCTGACGAATTTCTGTGTAATGTTTCCTGCAAAAGCCTCTTTGGTAACATAAGTTATATTTTTGACCAAATTGTCTCTTTATTTCAATTAAGTTTTTTTGTTGCGAAATTACGAGTATTTGTAAATCGCTATTTCGATTATAGTTTTGTCCTTTAAAAATATTTTTTAATGTTTCGAGTTTATTTCAAAATTCGATATTCATAGTTTTTCTCGATATTTTAATTTTTAGATTGTTTTGTTTCTTGAATTATTTCTCGTGATGCATTTATACTACATATTTCAGGCCTTTAAAAATGCAATATCTAAGTTACGACCTTTTCTTCTTAGTTACGATTATTTTCTCTTTATTTTAAATTCATTTTTCGTTGCTCCGATAATCTTTTCAGATATTTTCGCCAAGTTTCGATTTTCTTGCCGTTCCTTGGATTATGTTATTGATATTTCGAATTTCGATTGTTCTGAAGTGTATTTTTAAATTTCGAATGTGGTCGATAGCGTATAGTCGTCCTAAGCTGGAATATTGCTGAGTGCGGCACTAAACTACATTCAATCAATCAAGCGTTTTTAAAAGTGACAATGATAAGACGAATATTTTATCAAATACAGTTAAAATAATAAAATTGTCAAAATGACATCTATTTCTCTGGCCACAAATAAGGACTATGTATAAATAGCTTATCTACTTGAATAGGAGGCAGCAATATAACTCCGATTATGAGCTGAAAAAGCTACCCTGCAATTTTAACTTTTTAAATTCTTTGATATATAGGCTGTTATTCTACCACCTGGTGTTTACGTTCACGCATACAATGCTTCTGGCATAGTTCACAGTCATTAAGGTACACAGGGAATAAATGTACATCCTCATTGGGGTGTACGCGGAATGTTATTCCTTGTATACGCCGACATGAAGAATTATAATCAGATAGACCATATCAGCTTACTTTGAGAAATAGAAAAAAAATAACTATAAAGCATCTTGTGAGGACTCTTTTGATGTGAGAAATCTTAGAACTTAGATGTTTCGAACGAAGTGGCAGGGAGTTGTCAGCATAGGTCATCATCATCTTTCCGTGACGTCAAAAATTATGACAACCACGACAGCATCGTTGATGGAGACGGTCTGGTGATACGTCTTTGATAGGAGCACTAAGACGATCAATATACAGTCGAGCACCATTGTCTCGATATTCATGGGACCAAGAAAAAATATCGAGTTATCCGTTAGCTTCTGGGACCATCAAATTATATCGAGATATCCGAAATATCGAGACATCCGTTTCGAGTTAAAAGAGCTTGAATAATGATAAATTATGAAGGATTTTGCCGGGACCGAGATGTTATATCGTGACAACCGAGATATCGAGTTATCAGAGTTCGACACAACGATGCTCGACTGTATGTGCTTCATGGCATAATAATATATATAACAGCAGTAATTATAGGCCTTGGAGAGACGTATATTGACGAGGGTATTAAATATCTTGTTAAAGTATTATACAGACTCTGCCATGTGGTTATCAGACAGCTATAGACCGATGTTTATGGCTCTGTGGACACGCTTACTCTTTTGAAAAGTTGAATTTCCAGTTTTATGGGATGGTTTCAGGTGATACGCTTTAACCGATGCCAGACGATGTATTTGAACTTTGAATGGGAAAGTACACTGAACTGACACAATGAATGAGTTTCTTTTATCGGTAATACAACATGGTGGGCGGCATCAAGGATTCGTTGGATCTACGCAATTCGGACACAGTCAAGTTAGCGAGCCTGACCACCCATTCCCGTTTGTTGCATTACAAGGTCAACTCTTTTCATTTACAGACCAGGGTATCAACTGTGATCTAACGCGATGGTTAGACGCTTGCCCACTGGGCTAACTCATCGGGCTTACTTTCAAATGGGCAGGGGCGGTGGGGTAGCTTAGTGGTTAAAGCGTTCGCTCGTCACGACGAAGGCCCGGGTTCGATTCCCCACATGAGTATAATGTGTGAAGCCCATTTCTGGTGTTCCCCTTGATGTTGTTGGAATATTGCTAAAAGCGGCGTAAAACCATACTCACTCACTCAAATGGACGAGACACTTGCACAGCTTAGGGCGCAAAGACACTCCGAACCGAGTACGATTATTAATCGGTAGGTCATGTATCGAGTCGACACGGTACGTATCAATCGCGATCCGTGTCACAATCTGATAATAAAGGAGGCAGCATGTTGTTTTACGCCAAAATTCAGCAATACTCCAGCTTTATCATGGTGGAAGGTAAACGATCGAGCCTCGACAGGCAAACCAGCCGTTGACAACACAAAGATCCGCCAGGGTAGGTGAAAGAAGAGAAGCCACTTCACTAATTTTAACCACCCAATCCTTATATAAGTGAGTAAGTTTTACGCGGCTTTTAGCAATGTTCTAACACGATCATGGTAGGCATCTAACATGTGGCTGATTCGGTGCATCCACAATCAGAAAGACTCGCCGCCATCGAACCATCCATACATCCGGGGTAACCGTTCGACGCGTAATGTCATTTTAAGAATTTTATTCTACGTTGATATAATCATTTTTCAGTCGCAAAAGTATTTTAGCAGCTGCTTGCGAAATTACCTTATGTTGTGTGACATTAGTAGGAATTAGCTCAGTTTCTGCCAGCATACTTATGCTATAAGTGCCTTTGATCGACGCACTGTTCCCTTTTGCATTACGGACAGAGGAAAGATGGTATCATATTTTCCTTTTAACCGTGTACTTAAATTTTGGGTGTTAGGATTAATTTGCATTTTGTGCGGTTTGGAGGCCAAATACATGTGAAAAATCAGTTGGCGAAACACCCCAGTAAACACATACATGCGCTGTCTTAAGAAACTTGTTTACCCATCTTAACACGTGGGCATATATGCTGCAACGTGTTTCTTGATGTTCGGCGTCACAATCAACGTAATAACTCTTATAAATGCATATACCCCTGCTGTGCTCACTTGCTTAGTATTCAACCAAAACACATTCACAACGTGAGTTTAACAAAACAGTTTGGTAATAGTTTTGGAGAGAGTAATGTGAGCGCAAGTAAATGACAATCCCAGTGTGAGCTGGAGTCTTAGAACACGCATTCATAAGGAATCTATTCATGAGACTGAATGAAATCACCCATGTATGAAATCTTACATGAAAAGTGGAGCGCACACTCAAAGAGCATTCATAAAACTGAGTTGGATAATGCAAGGATATACTCTCCGCCCTATGCTATTTCATGATTATCACTGCTTTCTCTACTGGATGGCTTTCAGGAAGATAAGGTCAAGGCAAAGCAGATATAAAAACCGGGATATAAATTAGATATTTCCAAAAACTACAAATGTAAGATGCAATTTGTTATTTATACGGGATCTTACGTATTTACACACAGATTATGTACATGTATCAAAACTGAAAATATATTACTAAAACATTTTAAGGCCTCATTATATATTTAAATTTGCTTTCCACTTTTGAAAAAAACCCAAAACTTTATGTCACACGATTTATATACCATCAGACTGGAATTTGTGAACAGCTGCTGTATCAATTTAGATTTCTCTGAAGAAACAGAAACTACCAAAAACCCAATAGGCGTAAATGACAGCAGTAAAATTGACTACGTTAGTCACCAGAGAATGGTCTGTAAATCTCATTTATACAAAACACGGACTTTCACTGTCCTTTTCATAGTCTCACAATGGCATTGTATTGAAAAACTAGCGAGCGAAACAACAACCCAACACCCCTCTGGGCTAACCCATTTACGTTTGCTTTGAGTCAACATTTTAGGTCAGCGGAACTAGCTATTATGTCAAGAAGGGTAACCGGCTTCCAACAAAGTAAATACCGGGTTATTCAAATTCGGAAAGTAGAACAAGCCGAAAAAAGATGCTAATCGACGTAGTTTTAATCAATTTTCGATCATATGATGTTCAATGATGACGTTCCCCCAAATAATAACTCATAAAATCACCAAATAACATGTCGTCTGTCCCCAATCGTCTGCTAAAGCCTTTCAAACGATCAAAACAAACAACCAAACCGCGCTTTGTCTTATCAGTGTACGCGGGAAAGAGAGAATGGGTATTTAAGATCATTTAACGTAATTATGCTAGTTTAAACACAACCTGGTAGATTTAAGAGAGTGTTGAAATGCCCTAAATTTTAAAACCAAACGCTCTGCTGCCTCTGGGCTGAAGTGGAGCAGCACACGCGAGGCGGCTGATTCGAAGCCAGCAGCCGTTACAAGGAAAAACACATCTGTTACTTGCTACTTCCAGACTACACTTTCTTTCTTCAATCCACATTAAGAACGTAGGTTTATCTGATAAATATAAGTACTTACCTCTCTCGGCGTTGAATTTGACTGAAATGAAGTACTTTCCTCAATTCTTCTCGGAGAGAGCTGAGACGAGTCGCGATCACATGGGGACAAAAATAGTACAGGGATTCCCTTCAGTGACGGGCTTTGTTATGAGCGCGTCAGTCACGTGATTCGGGGATACCGGTTCTCGCGTCGAGAGTCAACTCACGAAAGCACGCGTTGATTTGAACGTTAAAATAGGAACACGTATCTCCTGGGTTACAACTTGTCATGTTCAGAGATCGGATGATTGATATTTCAGTACAAAGGGGTTAATATCCCACATCATTTCCTCAAACTCGTGTTTGTATTATAAATATATTTACTTGCTTTCCTGCGCGCTGGGAGAATACACGTGTCGACCGATTTAGACATTGATACATATTTATGCATGACGAGTATCAATCGACTGCTTACGTGGATCACATTTTTCAGGAACCGGAAGGTATTGACCATAGCTCCTGGTAATTGGTGATCGTGACACATTCGTACATATTCCCCAGGATTAGCAGGCACCAACGGAAACATTTTCAGTTCACGCCGACTTTGACATATGCAGTATACTAAATTTATAAGTGACGGAGTATGAATTGTCAATCTGTGAATTTTCCTTCTTACAAGGAATGAGTGGGAGTGTACCATGAAAGGGGGAAGGGATGGGTAGAGGTATGGGGAAGGAGGGAGAGGGGTGAGAGAGCGGGAACACAGTGAGTACTGTCGTCTGTCTAGCAGTCCCTGAACCGCATTATTAACACACACACACACACACACACACACACACACACACACACACACACACACACACACACACACACACACACACACACACACACACACACACACACACACCGCCCTTTCCGCAATGTTGAAGCCCTAAATGAAGCAAGTCTAGACTTCCTCAGGTTCTGATTCTCGCATCTCACTGGGTCTTATTTTCAGTTCAAAAGGAATTATTTGTTTTATCAAAATTATATATATTCAGAGAAGAATCGTTAGTCTAATTGTGCTGGTGGGAAATCATCAATGATATGTACATTTTGTTCGATGTATTAAAGCCCAAATTATATGTATGATCTCAAAATGTAGAATATAAATACACCAAACCACGTGGATAAAATATGAAGGAATCAATAGTGACAGAAGGCATATACTACTTAAGAGAAGTTAAGGAACTCTTGGTCCTTTCATCTTAATGTAGTTGTCTGTCGTGGCTTATTAACTGTAGTATGAAAGAACCAGTGATCTTTAACATTTCTTTGAGTAATATATATAACTAACAGTAAACGTATACTGTAAACTAGGGCCCATAAGGGTTATGCCTGTAGATTGGACCTGTAAGCTGAATATCTTTAAAGTGCATCTGGTTTTCTGATGAAACATGTACAATACAATATATACTCTCCCAAAAAAGAAACGCATCATGAAAATAGCAATTTCATGTAGCAATGAATTAAAACGTGATTCATTTTACAAAAGGTTTTGCTCTGTTTATGAGTCCTATGGTGTTTATGTTTTGAAACATCACTTAAATAATAAAAAACAAAACGCACCATCCGTAAAATACCCGTATTTAACAGCATGATTTTCAATTAAGGCGTGTAGTGTCACAGAATACACAATTCACATGCAATGCACGTGAAAGTTGGGGATCAGATAGTCTCAATGATGGGTATAAAAGGTTGATCGCTGTCTGTCGATTATTCACTGTATTTGGAATATTGTTGACAAACGCAAAATGCCACGTCTAAGCAACCGTCATATCGCCATTGGTTTGCTTGAAGCTGGCCAGTCTCAACGTGCAGTTGCCCGACGCATGAATGTTCACCAAAGCACCATTTCACGGCTCAGGGAGAGATATCGCCGGCAGAATGCAGTAGCAGATGCCCCTCGTAGTGGGCGACCTCGAGCGACCACGTACTGCGGCGCAGGTTCGCTACATCCGGGTACATCACCTGCGTCATCGAACAGCTACGGCGACCAGTACCGCTCGACAAATACCCGGATTGAGGAGGCTTTGTGCACAGACCGTCAGGAACAGGTTGAGAGAGGCTGGTTTACGTTCCGGAAGACCTTATTTTGGCCCTATGCTTCGACAACAACATCGTCGACATCGAGTTCAATGGTGCACCAACGTTCAGGCCTGGAACCTACCGAATTGGCGTAGAATCTGGTTCAGTGATGAATCACGATTTCTATTGGAACGACGCGATGGAAGAATGCGGGTGTACAGACGTCGACGTGAACGTTTGGCCCGCGCTTGCGTTCCCCAGGTGGACAGATTCGGCCGGGGCTGTGTTATGATGTGGGGAGAGATCACCTGCTGTAGGAGAAGTGATTTGGTGATGATCCAGGGCAACCTGACAGCTCAACAGTACTGTGACGAAATCCTACGCCCACACCTTCCAATCATTGATCGCCAGAGGGAGTTTTTTCAACAGGACAATGCCAGGCCCCACACAGCACGTCACACTAGAGACTTCCTCCAGAACCACAACATCAATGTGCTCCCCTGGCCCTCAAGATCACCGGACTTAAACCCGATCGAACATCTGTGGGATGTGCGACGCCGTAACCCTCAGCCCCAGACACTTCAGCAACTCGCACAGGCACTACAGGCAGAGTGGGCTGCGATTGGGCAACACGAGATTCTGAGACTTATTCGTTCGATGCCGAGGCGATGCCAAAGACGGATAAGTCTGCATTCCCAGTGTGCAATTTCGCTATATTTCATTGACTCATAAAGCCTACAAGATGTTTCAAAATAAACATAAAAATACAGTTGAAATTCCTATATGCGTTTTTTTTTGGGAGAGTATATTATTGTATTATGAAGGTAAATATCGGCTTTGACATTTTCATTTTACAGAATGTCTTGGTCAGTATGTAACGTGGGCTGACAAGAATGTTGTGAAAGTTGAAATCCCACATGGATGTGAACAGGGATTTACAAGAATTTGTTAAATGAGGCATTTGTCAACATTTGCGAAATTGGAGGAAAGTTGACAAGTTAAACAAGATGTGAAACGGCATAGGACAGTATAAATTACAGTTCTGAACTTGTGACAGTGAGTGATTCTAATATTACACCGTTTTGGCAATATTCAAAGAACATCACGGGTTTCACGCATTGTACCGATGTTGGGAATCTTGACTACCCAATCGTGATAAGGGCGATTTTGAATATTGATTGGTTAATGTTCCATGTGTACGTGATGTTTAACATACTTGAACACATTTCAACTTTGTATACATTTTGTTGAGGTGTGGAAGTGTTTTTTTGTTTGTGTGTGTGCATGTGTATTTGATTTCATGATTGCGTGTGAGTTTCTGTATTTGTATTTGCGGTGAGGTGAGGTGAAATGGGGTTTAACGTCGTACTTAAGAATATTTATCTCATATGTACTAGCCCAAACTTAAGCTGGTTTTACATTGCTAGCTCACTGAGATGCCATGCCGTAGTTAAACATGAATACCCCACACAGACACATTATACTCCGAGCCGATTAATGCCGTGCGCCAGGCAGGGACCAACAAATACCATATTTTAACGTCTTTTGGTATGACGCGGTCTCCACTACACCACGGATGCGGTCATTTGTATTTGCGTGTGGCTGTACGTGCTTGTGTTCGTATGAAGGGGTGTAAACGCCGCTTAAAGAAATATTCCAGCAATAACACAGCAGGGGACATAAGCAATGAGCTTCTCGCGTTGTAAATCTCGAACTCTGGGTGAAAATACACCAGCAGGTCATTCAAACTTTGTCACAAATATTCAACATGTCCAGTTACCAGATGTAAACAAATCCCTGAAAATCCCACCACAGGTTCTATCCCATCCCAGTGGAAGAAAGGTATCATCATCCCAATCTTCAAAGGCGGTGGCAAACCAAGGACGTCCCCAGATTCATACAGAGGAGTGACTTTGTTGCCTGTTATTTCAAAACTCTTCGAACAGGTCATAGCGAAACGGATCCCACAATTTCAAGACTCCACGGACTACAATGCGGCTTCCAGAAAGGCCTCTCGTCCCTTCATGCATCATTCCTCCTTCAGGTCTACCGCTACAAGGAACTGAAAGACTCTCTGAAAGTGGTGTTCTTGGACAGAAGTAAAGCCTTCGACACTGTGTGGCATGATGGGCTACTCTGGAAGCTGAAGGAGTTAAACATTCATCCAGGTGTGTGGCGCATGTTCTGCAACAATAATACCTACTCATCCTGGTTTAAACTCGACCATGGAGTGAGACAAGGTAGCGTCCTTTCTGCCAAGCTCTACTTGGTTTACATCAACGAGCTTCTGACAAACCTATCACATCTTAAGAAGGGAGCATTCATATTGGATCTCCACCTCGCCGCTCCAACTCAGGCAGATGGTATCTCACTGATCAGCCCTATCACAGCCCATCTACAATCCATGGTAACAGAGTGTCAGAACTACAGTGCCAAATGGCAGTTCACATTCTCTCCCTCAAAAAGCAACGTCTTGGTCTTAAATCCGGAAAGAAACACCAAGTGCAATATCAAATTTTACGGAAAGACTTTACCTGAAGTGGACAACACAAAGCATCTTGGCATTCTTCTCGACTCACACCTCAGCAGCCACACTCGAACATCAAATGCATGTTCGAAGAAGAAGTCAGCTGCAATGATGTTGATGAAATCAGGCTTACACAACAGTGGGCTGAATCCAATTACCAGCTCCAATCTTGTCAAGTCTGTGTGTGTGCCCAAAGCCTTGTTTGGGTGCGAATTGTGGTCAGGGTTGAAAAAGGGCGATATTATCACTGTTGAAAGGGCACAACGATTATGTTTAAAGATGTGTCAGGGGCTCCCCAAAACTACTAGATCTGACATATGTAACTCCCTGATTGGATGGTACCCGGCAGAATCACATCTCGACACAACGAAGTTGATTTTCCTTGGCTCCTTGTGTAACAGTAAGAAGCACCTACTCTGCTTCAAACTCTTTATCTCACGCCTGTTTGCGTTTAGAAACTGCATATTGAAAACAAGAACAGGATTTATACCAGATATAGTGCATGTACTTGAAAAATACAAACTGCTGCACTTTCTTGAGAATTCCGTCTCCTCCGGCATCTTCATGAGTCAACTCTC